GGCCACCTGGCCGGGCAGCGTCACCCCCTGGATCACCGTCTGTCCCGGCTGGCCGATGGCGGCGGCGGCGGCGCCGGGCAGCGAGGCGGCGGCCGAGGGCTGGCTCTGCGTGCTGAGCCCGCCGGCCAGGGAGACGGGCATCTGGAAGAGCGCCGGCTGCCCGACCTGGCCGGGCTGCAGCTGGATGGGCGCCGACAGGATGTGCGCCGTGCCGTGCGCGTTCTGCGAGGTCAGCACCTGGCCCAGGTTGAGCGGGCCGGCGATGTTCTGGTTGGTGAGGATCTGCGCCGGCAGCGCCTGGTTGGCGATCAGCTGCCCGCCGGGGCCCTGGCTGGTGATGATGTGCGCCTGGCCGCCGCCGTGCGACGCCGTCAGGATCTGGCCGCCCACGCTGGCCGGCAGCGCCGAGAGCGGCTGCGGGATCTGCACGGCCGGGGCGCCCGCCAGCTGCCCGGGCAGCAGGAACTGGTTCTGGCCCTGCAGCACGGCCTGCGGCACGTGCTGCGCCGGGATGACGATGCTGCTGCCCTGGTTCAGCAGGTGCACGCTCATGGGCTTGCTGAGCGCCTGCTGCTGCGGCGGCGGCTGCTTGAAGACGTTGGCCGGGAGGCCCTGCGGGAAGCCCGACAGCACCACGTTCTGCGCCGGCTTGCCGGCCATGAAGGTGAGGTTCTGCTGCGCCTTCTGCTGCTGCAGGGCCGCCTCGTTCTGGATGGTGAGCGTGGCGTTGCCGGAGCCGAAGGGCTTGGGGGTGATCTGGTAGAGCTTCTGCTGCAGGACGCCGGCGGGCTTGGGCTGGATGGGGGTGGGCGTGCGGTGGATGATGACGTTCTGCGCCTGCACCAGCGGGCTGCTCAGGTTGGAGGTGACGGTGAGCGGCTGCGAGCCCTGCGCCCCCGACACGCCGCCGAACACCGGGCTGCCGTTCAGCGTGGTGGTGGCCACGGCCGGCAGGTTCTTCTGGAGGACCAGGCCGGCGCCCTGCGGGGAGACGCCGGCCGAGGCCAGGGTGACCTGCTGCTGCTCGGGCGCCGTCTGCGCGATGTAGCCGCCCACCGGCACCGTGGCCACCGGCGAGGGCTGCACCTGCTTGGCGATGATCTGCTGCGCCGGCTGGTTGATGGCCATCACCTGCTGCCCCACCACCTGGATGGGGCCGATGCCCAGCGCGCCGCCGGGGCTGCCGTTGGGGAGGCCCTGCAGGTTGGAGATGGGCTGGATGGTGACGTTGCCCAGGCCCACCTGCTGCAGGAAGGGCTGCACGCTGATGGCCTTGTTCACCACGTCCGCCCCCACCGGCTGCTGCACCAGGGCCTGGTGGGTGAGCACGGCGGGCGGCTGCAGGCCGATCAGGTCGGCGCCGCCGGAGAAGATCTGCGGGGCGCCGTCGGAGGCCGCCTGCACCACGGGCTGCAGCGTGGGCAGCTGGAAGGAGCCCAGGTCCAGCTCGGCCTCGGCCTCCAGAGTCTGCTCGGTGATGTTGGCCTCCTGCAGGCTCTGCTGCAGGATGTCGCAGGGCTGCTCCGCGCTGGGCAGGTTGGCCCCGCCGCCCGCCGGGGAGCCCAGGATGTCATCCTCCAGGAAGTCGAGGTCCACGCTGGCGCTGGGCTGGCTCTGCTCGGCCGTCAGGTGGTTGCCGGAGGATTCCTGGACGTGCAGCTGCGGGGGGGGACGAGGAAGAGGGAGAGGGAGAAGGAATGGGAGAAAAAGGGAGAGGGAGAGGAGGGAGGGGGAGAAGGAATGGGAGAAGGAGAGGAAGAGGGAAAGGAAGAGGGAGAGGGAATGGGAG